ACTTGAATGTGACTCCCACCACTTTTTACAAATATTGTTCGTTCTTAGAGAAAGAAATGATGATACTTCAGCCACAGATAAATATGCCAGAATCCTCCTTATATATGGGAATTTCTTCAAAGCTTCACTTATCTTTCAATGAAGATGAATCATCCCATCATCAACAACAGCAACTTGCTGTTTGAGATCAATGCATTTCTTGTTGAAGGTAGTTAAGATAATTTGACCTATGAAACAGCCAATTAAAAATTGTGATTGTATTCGACGTTAAAACATATTTGGTACGAAGTATTAGCAGCAAATATCTGAAGTATCTTTTTGTTATATGGATGATTCGAGCCGCGAGGACCATGATTGGGAATTGTTAGACGAAGAGGCGAAATTGAATCAACTTGACAAAGGAGCTGCTATTTGAAATCACAATGAAACACTGTACTTATCTCATGTGTGCTTTTGGTGAAAGACTGGACAATACATCATATTAGATTTGTACCTTTTTTTTTTTTTAAATATTATCATATATTTTGTTGTGTCCCTCTTACCAAACCAATCATATTGTTTCTAGAAATTTTGATCATAGGTCATTACAGTCTTGTATGTCCTAAGCTAATATTTTAATGCATCAATTACACTTGGGTTTAGTGCTAAAAAGTACTAAAGATGAGACCTTGAAATATACGTGTCTGCAATGGTTTTTTCTAGATTACTATACGTTGAAGATATAAATAATAAATCACACAGGCGTATAAAGCAGAATACTTGCTGCGTGATAAATTCTTTAAATCTTCAATTTGATGATTTCTTGAATTTGCCTTAAAACCTTGAGTTTTCTTTATATCCCCCAAGTTCAGACTGGACCTGATGAGTGGGCACCAAGATATGACCAAGAATCCTAAAATAAGAACCTACTTCAAGATCACAAGATTAATTAGTTCTTGAAGATCAAGAAAACTTGTTTTCAAAAATTTCTAAAACTTCCAAGTCTTTAAATAGATTTTAGCAAGCCTTGTTTCCTTATTCAAAAAAGCTTAGGTTGTTTTTATATCTTGGAATTAAAATTTAAGGATTTGAACTACTCTTCCTAAAAAAGTTGACTCTTTAAAATGGAATCCGAAATCTTTATACCATGAACATGTTCGTCTTAACCTAGTGTCGCGATATCCAAATTCCTTGGACTTTTTATCAAGAAAAATTCCGAGTGCAGAATGAAATAAAAATCCAGTGTATCAGTATTCATCCAATTATAACAAGTTGACAATTCATAGCATGCTCCTCATAGAACGAAATAGCACAATGAAATTAAATTATTGTGCATTGTACTATTCAATACTACGTGCAAAATGAAACGTGGCATTAGGCTTGGTAGTTGGTAAGCCAAACAAACACTATTTGGAAGACATTTTCTTTTAATCCTTCTTCAAGAACTGAATGACAAAAGGCACAGCAGCAGTACACAAAATATATTGAAATCTGACGGATTCATCAGGTGCAATGGCGAAAAATGACCGATGCATAAGTTGCAAACATAAACAAAGTAGAAATCCACGCACACTTCAAAATAGAAAGGGAATCCATAAGTAAGCGATATAAGAATATGGCTGTTGAAAGAGCCAGAGCATTGGCTATCAAGAAAACATAGAATGCTTGTTTTTGGTCTGCATATATTGCACGCCCCGGCATTTGTCCACCGTGGATGTCCTGCCAAATGCCACCAGGAGGGTTGACTCTGGCCTGAAAAGTCACTGCCGCTATAGCGCCGCCACATCAGTAGAACGTTCCTGGCATCAGTTGGAGACTCCCTGTCTTCTTCGTATCGAAACATAAACCAACCTCCTTGCTGGGGACTTCCACTCGGGCTAGCCATTTTTCTGATGCAATGGTACTCAACAAACTTGTAATAATCTTGATAAGAGGCTAGGCCCTTATTCAAACTTAAGCTTAATCTTGCAGTGTTCATGACATTAGGTTTTAATTTGTACTGACTAAATCATTAAATGACTTGTTACATATCTTCCAACGAAGCTCTAAGCAAAACCAAGTGGTAGGTACACTGCAAGTGAACCTAGGCCCACACTCCACGTCATTTTCCCTATGTGGTAATTTGGTCGAACCCCTATGGGGAGCTGAGCCCTTATGGATGAGGTGAGATAGGTGTAAATGTTATGCCTTACGTTCAATCAATTTTGAATATAAGCACTTATAATATAAAATTGATACATTTTTATGGCAGATTTATTATTTAATATAATTGAATAATTTTCAATTATATTAAATAATAGAGTCCGTAGATTCAAATCTTAGTAATTTGTCAATCACAAGGAGCTGTGATTGTGAGATACAAATTACATATGACTGAATCTTAATTTATTCATGATCGTAAGTAGGGGTGGGCAAAAAATCGACCGACCCGACGAAACCAACCGAACCGACCCAAACCGGCCGGTTTGGGTTGGGTTTTTGCAATTGTTGGACGGTTTTTGGTTTGGGGTGGTTGGGTCAGGTCGCGGGTTGGTACCCATAACCTCGATTGAACCCGACCCGACCCGACCCGACCCGACCCGAAAATAAAATAAAAAAAAGGAAAAAAAAAAATGACGTTAAATTGAACAAAAAAAACCCTAAAACTAAAAGAGGCATCCACTCTAGCCTAACTACTAAGCACAAGCAGCCTTCATTCTCTTCTCATTCACCAGTCGCCGACTCGCCTGAGCGCCTCNATTTATTTTTTCTCCCTTATTGACAACAATCCCCTGTTAGTTTTCCTCTTCCTCGTGATGCTTGGAGTTACAAATATTTTAGACACAAAATTTCAGATTGCACGTTTGGGATGCAAAAACTAGGTCAAAGAACAGACAAAAAAGGCTCCAAATGAGGGGTTAGGTTTTTAGAGTTTGCTATAAAATTTGAAGTCCCGAAGTTTGGCATTTGACTCAGTGAAATTCTCTTCATTTATTTGTGTCCTCTTCACATTGAAGACATGGAAGAATTTTTTGTACTATAAACTGAATTTAATATGCTTTCATTAGTTGAACTTCGGGAATTTTAATATTTACACAAAAAATTCAATTTTTTTGTGGACTGTAAATTACTACACTTTAGTTTGCATAATTGCTTTTCAAGAAGCAAGAAAAGTAAGGAATATAAAGAAATAAAGTTAAATTTGTGTATTGATGTTTAATTAATGGAACCTCAAGACATTTTCTTCTCTTCAATCATGAAGATGACTGATTATTACAATGTTCAACATTTCAGATTTTTTCTTTTCAGTAGTCCGTTCGGTGTTCTATATAATAACCTTACCATACTTTAACCTTTTTCAGCACCCAAATTTTCAACTTAGCCTCAATTTGGCCAAAAGGTTTATAAATGATTTTCAAATTTAATCAAATTAAATATTAAATATTGATTTCTTGTTTTCAAATAGACCAGTAGAAGGTAATTAGCTGCCTATCTAAATTTGTGATTTTTGGTAGAGGGCTTGATTTCTTGTTTTCTGCTTCTTATCCACCGGCCTGTTAATTCTTCTTTCTCCTCAATCCTTATATTCCTCATTTATTCATAATTTTTGTGCACTATGTTTCGTAGATATGGATGTAGA